GAGAAAGGAAAGTCTCTTCAATAAATGGTGTTGGAAAAACTGAACAGCCACATGCAAAAGAATGAAAATAGACCATTATCTTTCACCATACACAAAAATTAACTCAAAATTGATCAAAGACTTGAAGGTAAGACCTGAAACCATAAAACTGCTGGAAGAAAATATAGGCAGTACACTCTTTGACATTGGTCTTAGAAGGATCTTTCCAAATACCATGTCTAGTCAGACAAGGTAACCAAAAGAAAAAACAAACAAGTGGGACTTCATCAGACTAAAGAGCTTCTGCAAGGCAAAGGAAACCAGGAACAAAATGAAAAGACAACCCACCAGCTGGGATAAAATATTTACAAATCATATATCTGACAAGGGGTTAATCTCCAAAATATATAAAGAACTCACACAACTGAACAACAAAAAAACAAACAACCCAATCAAAAAATAGGCAGAGGATATGAACAGACATTTTTCCAAAGAAGATAGACAGATGGCCAATAGGCACATGAAAAGATGTTCAATATCACTAATCATCAGGGAAATGTAAACCAAAACTACACTATGATATTACCTTATACCTGTTAGAATGGCTATAATCACCAAGACAAAAAATAACAAATGTTGGAGAGGATGTGGAGAAAACGGAACACTCCTATACTGTTGGTGGGAATGCAAACTGGCGCAGCCACTATGGAAAACAGTATGGAGATTTCTCAAAAAATTGAAAACAGAAATACCATACGACCCAGCTATCCCACTACTGGGTATTTATCCAAAGAATTTGAAATCAACAATTCAAAGCGACTTATGCACCCCTGTGTTCATCGCAGCATTATTCACTGTAGCCAATAAGTGGAAGCAACCCAAGTGCCCAATGACTGATGATTGGATAAAGAAGATGTGGTAGGGCCGGCCCCATGGCTTAGTGGTTAAGTGCGCACACTCCGCTGCTGGTGGCCTGGGTTCGGATCCCAGGTGCGCACTGACGCACTGCTTCTCCGGCCATGCTGAGGCTGCATCCCACATACAGCAACTAGAAGGATGTGCAACTATGACATACAACTATCTGCTGGGGCTTTGGGGGAAAAATAAATAAATAAAATTATATATATAAAAAAAAAGATGTGATATATATACAAAATGGAACACTACTCAGCCATAAAAAAAGACAAAATTGTCCCATTCTCAACAACATGGATGGACCTTGAGGGTATTATGTTAAGCAAAATAAGGCAGACAGAGAAAGACAAGCACAGCATGATTTCACTCATACGTGGAAGATAAACTAACACATGGACAAAGAAAACAGTTTAGTGGTTACCAGAGGGTAAGGGGTTTGGGGGATGGGCACAAGGCGTGAAGGGGCACATTTATATGGTGACTGACAAATAATAATGTACAACTGAAATTTCACAATGTTATAAACTATTATGACCTCAATAAACAAACAAGGCAAGGGGAACAAAAAAAGTGAAAACCATAGAGTTTCCTGGCTATTTATCTACTTACAGAATATCCAGAACATACTCCATGGTTTTCTATTTCTCATAGGAAATAGTTTAGGAAATCAAAAGCAAACATTCCAACATGATAAAAAATTAAATATATTTGACATATTGTTTGGTTTATCTGATTTATTTATACCACGGAATTTATAACATGGAATAAAAAACATGAGTTCATTAGAAACCAATGTCTTCTTATATTAATCTCTTCAGTCAGACACCAAGATAGACAGAGGGAAAACCCTGTATGTTGATCGCCCACATTTCTCCTGAAATTCTTCCACAATCTTCTATATGAAAGCATGATTACAGTTGCAGAACACAAACACTGAATTTATGGCTAAATAATGCAGGAACCAGTGAAGGAGGCTTCCCCACCACCCAGCCCTGAAGGCATCCTGATAAGCACTCCACAGACAGAAGGAGCTAGCAAGGGCTTTACTCCTTTTATTGGCAATAATATGGGTTAGGTGCTGGGGGTGGGGTGGGGGAACCACAGTAAACATGCTGATGAGGCAGAAATAATTTCCTGGGTGGAAAGAGGACCACTGTAGGGGCAGAGAAATTGTGTAAATTGTGTGTGTGACCCACCTCGGTATATGAGGGACTTGCCTGATGTTAAAGCCCATCGTCATGCCCAGTGTACCACGTCTCCTCCCTGCATCTGTGAGCAAGGACTTAGCTTGGTGCAAGTGTTGGGGTTGGCAGCTTTTCATTGACAACCGTGGGAATTGGTTGTCAGGCTTTGAGGTGCCAATGATGGAAAGAAGAGCCAGACTCCTTTCCTAAATGAAGTTTTCAATGTTCCTTACAGCCTGAATGGGGAAACTAGAGATGGATGTTCATGAACTTGAATGGAAGGTCGAGATGGCAATGGAAGAGATGCCACAGGGGTTTAGAGGAAACAGACTGTGCCAGCCTCTGAGAGTTGGAAAAGCTTAATAGAGAGGAGGGAAGAATCAACAGGACTTAGGTGGGCTGAGAAGAGGGCATAGGAAACTGGGAACATAGGCGTGAGGTAGGAGAAGCACAGCATGTTCGCAGCCCGTGAGCAGACTAATCTGAGTGCAGCAGAGAAAGCAGGGAGGGGCGCAGAGCGAGCTGAGGCAGGAGTCACAGGCTGGGCTGGGGGTGGAGGGCCTTTGTGCCAGGCTGAGAAATTTGGATTTTCTGATGGGGTTAAGAAGTCAGAGAAGGCTCTTGAGCAGGAGAAAAGTATAACTAGAAGATAAACCCACACAGGGTATCTTAACCTGTGGCAGAGACCTTCACTTACATTTGACCTTAAAAGGCATTTTCCTCTCCAAAAATCACCTTCCTGTTGGCGCAGGATTCTAGCCCATGCGTAGGCTGTGGACCACCTCTAGGGTGGTCTGAGCACAGGTCTGTGCTTGTGCTTGGGACTGTCATGAGGCCCAGCCTTTGTTGGCTGACTTCTGCTAGAACCTACAGCAAGAGCTCTGCAACCAAGGGTGAGCACAATGCAAGACTGCCACGTTTGATCGGACAGGCTGTGCCATGCACAGGGGCACCCGGCAGGAGAATGAGGAGGGCCGAAATCCAGCCCATGTTCCACGCTCCAAGCAATGTGCTTTGGCACAGGCTGCATCCACCTGAGGAAGAGGTATTGTTTTCTGTTCTTACAACGGCACTGGAAGGGCTGGCAGGAGCCCTAGAATGACAGGGGCTGGTTTTCTAAAATCTCCAAGGGCAGCCTGGGAGCAAGGTGCATCTTTAGATCAACACCACTGATTTGGGTGACGTGGGCAAGGGCAGTGAGGTGTAGCATCGGTGACAACAGACATCAGGGAAGAAAGCCAGATAGGAATGGGGGTAAGGGCGGATGCCCTGCGGTAGCCAGAGCAGTCAGGCAGCCCACCGCCCAGCATCCATCCACCCATCTGCTCGTCACTTCCCTCCACGAGCAAGAGGGTCCCTGCTCTCAAGGAATTCAGTCTACTCAGGGAAAACAGTAAACATCTACATTTTTACTTACAAATTATATCAAGTAGGATTCTATGAGGAATAATAATGGGGAGAATCTAATGAAAAGTGGAGAGAGGAATCAGGCAGGCTGGTGAGTCCTGAAGGATGGATCCACATTAACCAGGGGACAAATGGAGAAGAGCCTTCCAGGAGCAGGAGACAAAAGCTGGCACTGCCCAGAAGTGGGAATTAGAAAAGGCCAGTGTGGCTGGAACACAGATCGGGAGAAGGGGCAGAAGTGAGACTGGCAATGTCAGCAGAATCCAGATCGTGCAAGATATTGTGGGCCAAATGGGACTCTGGTTTATCTTAAGGGCACCGAGAAGGCATTGGAGTATTTTATAAATGCGGTTCACTGATCAGACCTACGTTTTGAAAAGATCACCCTGGCTTCCTTATTCAGAATGGATTAGGAAAGGGCTGGAGTGGAAGCAGCAGCCAGGGGCCTGGAGTTTGTTAGAGTAGTTCAGGCAGGGGACAATGACGAGCAGAGGTGGAGATGGCGACCAATGGATGGATTCAAGGTGCATTTTGGAGGTAAAAATGACGCATGAGCTGGAAGGGGTGAGGCATAATGGGGGCAAATTTCCCCCCAGACTTCTGACCTGAGCATTCCCCATAGAACTTCATGAGATGTGCTAGAGTCTGAGGCCCCTGGAAAGCCCTTCTCTGCTTGCTTGGGTGATCCAGAAAAATATGGAAACTCCATTTGTTATTGTTACTGTAGGCCTACTTTGGCCTGAGGAACATGGGTACATCCAGATTAAAAACCTATGTTTCTTAAGCTCACATCAGTTGAGACAGGAGTGGGGAATTAAGAGTTAGGCGAGAGCTGTTGGAAAGGAGTCTACGGAACAGAAAAGGAAATAAAAAGTTTTTCATCTCAAGTATTTGCCTTGATAGGTTGGAGTTGAAAAAAAAAAATGTATCTATATAAATCGAGCCACAGCATGTGGCTTTCTGGTAGCTGTTGGGCTTTGCACAGAATAAGTTCCCAAGGGTTTAATTACCAATGAATATCAACTCTCGGTCCTGTTCCATTTTTGTAAGCCAAGGAAAGCATGCCTGTATGGTTCAATGGTAAAAGAGAATGAGCTGTAACTTCTGCACTGTGTATCTAATTCTCGGTAGATATGCAAATTCCGCGCATTATCCAAAATAAGGAGGGAGGAACTGACACACTAACTGCTTTCCTCTATCCCAGCCAGAACAGAGGGCTTTGAGAAGCAGGGCCTGTCCACCGGGTTCTCAAGGTGTCTAGTCCTTTGGAATCCTTTGTGGGTGAACACGACATCTACGTTCTCATAAGCAGTTTTCGTTTCCCAAGAGCAAGTATCTGGAAGCTGCCTGAGAGTAGCCACATGGCCTTATTTATCTGTGTCCCTGTGGAGCCTGGCACATGGCTTGCACATAGTAGATGTCTAATGGGTGCTTGCAGAGTAAAGCAGTAGCCCTTTGGATAGAACTGGGTCACCCACATAAATAACTGGTCAACTGTGGTCCAAACTCACTTACCTCTTGTTGTCCAGTGACTTGTAGAAAATGGCAATATTCATCTTGAATTGAAAGAAATTTGGCTTTTCCCACCCCTTCAGCATCCTTCAGATTAGCCATGCTCTCTTGAAAATACTGGTCAGCCACATCTGAAGAAAAACATCACCACAACAACTTTGAAAACTGCTCACAGATTTGAAATGGAAACAGAATAAATATGCTTTTAGTGGTGGCGAACTATTTGTAAATAATAAGCATTTGGACGAGAGAATACAATTAAAGGAACAGTCTTTTGCCCATTAATCTGCCTGTCTTATCAGAAAAGACTAGGTCTCAGAAGGATACAGCAAATTACTTTTCTTGGTTTTCATATGTCTCAGCTCTCCCAGTGACAGAGTAAGCAAAGTTAATGCATTCATGGAATCATGGAACCTTCCCCCAGATTTGAACACATTGGTAAGTTTTTCAGGTTGAGTAACTATTAATTCTTCCTAAAACTTTGGTTGCTCCTGACTGAGGTTAGGTTTGTAGCTCCACAGAAGTGGATTGAACTGAAGTCCCCTTCACCTCTCTTTCACTGGGGGTCTGCCTACAGCCAGACCAGCAGATAGATTTCTAGAGTATTAATCAAATATCTCTCTTGGTAGGAGAACATTCTATCACATGGAAAATGTGACATCTTCACTCACGGCTGACTCGTGGGAGAAAACATTACAGATTTAACGCTCAGACTAAGTATTAACTTTGGCTACTTTGATATTCTGATGACAGCAAATATGGGGATGATGTAGCATTTATTTTGTTGATTCTAAAAGCATTACAGAGATGAACATTCCATGTCTAAAAATTAATGAGGATATTCAGGAGTGGCATGCTCTTTATATTTTAATTCTCTGTCTCATTTGGAATTAACCAAAGGAAGAAACCGAGCCCTTCTTTAAGAGTAAAGATCTTTCCGAGTCTCAGCCTTGTTCCCCTGGGGATGAGCCCTTACTATAAAGACCAGCAGATGTAAAGGGTGTAGGAAGGAGCTGGGGCTGAATGGGCATGGACTGAATTTCTGACCTGGGCTTTGGCAGAAGTGGTGCCATGCTCAGGTAAAGGAGGAGACCAAAAGGGATTGGAAGTGTTTCCCTCCCTTCCTGGGTAAGCAGCCAGTCTCTTAGACACAGGTGGACACAGCCACACTTGATACCTTCCTAGCCCCTTTCTTGTAATGTTCTCCCACCTCTTAGTATTCCTTCCCCTGGTGGTCCCATGCTGACCAATAGCCCCCCAAAGGCACCCGTTAGGCTGGTCCCCAAGACCTGAGTACTGCATGCTCCTTTCTCTTAGTGTAGCTGATCTCCCAGAGATGCTGGGAGAAAGGAAGCTGCTTGGCCTAACTCAAACTAGTGTGTAAATGGCTCATAACCTCTAACTCAGGAAGACCTATTCATATTTTCCAAAGAGGATGCTTTTTAGCACATATGGATCTCTGGAAGAGAGAGTGGAAGTGAGGGAGGAAGGAAGGGAGGGGAGGGAGGAAGGAATTTATTACTTAAATTAAGGCAGTGTGGCTACTGAAGTGAAGGAAAGCTCGGCGTTGTGGTGGGACAATGGAGACAGGCGCTGCCTGGAAATCTACCCTCTGGGGTCAGCCTCTTAAAGCTGCTGCTTCCCTTCCTCCACTTCTGAGTCCTCAGCTTCTGTAAAGGTCTGGGTTTTTCTCATTTCTGTTCTTGAAAGATCTCTAGTCAGAGGGGGGCGAGGGGTGAGGATCGGGGATAGGGGTAGGGAGGACAACAGACAGCTGTTGTCATGTACAAGTCGACCACATGTCAGGCAACACATCAGGACCCTTGTATATCAGAAGAGTGTAGAGCTTAGGAACAGAGGAAGGTCTAGGGCATCCACTATGAGCGCCTTCCCTGTCTATAAATCTGAAACCACTTTTTTTTTTTTGCTGAAGAAGCTTGGCCTTGAGCTAACATCCCTGCCCATCTTCCTCTATTTTGTATGTGGGACGCCACCACAGCACGGCTTGATGAGTGGTGTAGGTCCACGCTCGGGATCTGAACCCGTGATCCCGGACCACTGAAGCAGAGCACGCTGAACTTAACCACTATGCCACTGGGCCAGACCCATGAAATCACTTTTCTCTTTACCTGGGATACAGGAGAGCTCCTTTACTGCAAGACTCTGACTTATTTCCCCCAGCCCTCAAACCTCCAAATTAACTTTCTGAACTATGAACCACATGATTAGTCTTTGAGGGGAGAGCAAATTTGTCCTATTACTACAGCTAAGGAGTGACTCTCTGATAAGTAGTTTGTTCTCCTGGAGGTGGGCATCCCACAGGAGGTCCATCTGGGACAAATGACAACAAGATTTCCAGAGGGAGAGGAAGTCACAGCTGGGTGGGTGGGACGCCACCTCCTGGCATGGACCTTGTGCCCTGAAGCTGAGTGTGGGTTCACAAAGAGCCAGCAGTTTCAACACTCGCACACGGCCATCCCTAACTTTAAAAACCTCTTCTAGAATCCTCTGCAACCTGATGCCGGTGGCCTCGGCAGAAGATGAGGTCATTTTCTAAAGCACGGGAGCATGACTTAGCTGGTAAATCTGAGCCCCAGTCGCACAGGTGTTCCAAGGCCATTAATCTCCCATTTTCACTCCAACAGAACGTTTAGGCTGCCTGAGAGTTAGAGCGAGGGAGGAAGTGTGGCCCGCTGGGCAGGGTGGCTTAACATCTCCTGGAGGTCCTGTCAGACTCTGTTCTGTCTGTATGTTTATATACAGGCAAAAAAAAACAAGGCCACATTCAAAGAGCTGGAGGAATGCAGGGTTACAGTTTGACACACTGGAGGCCAGAAGGCTTTTAATTAAAATAAATCCCAGTAACCCTGGGCTTGTTTTCTTGAGGCCATCCTACAGCAAGAGCTGGAACAGTGAGGACAGCTTTCATTAAGAGGGATGCCTGTGTGTTCAATGTGACAATTACCTTTTGTAACAGTCCTGGGAAATAGTCTGTACTCTGTACTAACTGTAAAAGCATGAAGGACCCCAGGGAATTTGAAAATAGAAAGTCTCAAATCCTAGCCCAGCGTTAACCCAGAGGAGTGCCATCACCCAGCAAGCAAACAGATTGAACCCATTTAGACCCTGCTGGGGGCTGCTGCACAGGCTCTGCACAGGCAGCTGCCCTAAGGCCACCCGCCTTGGGGGAGGCCACTAGGGAAGCTTGAGGACATACCGAGTCCAAAACAGGCTCACTCCTTACCACGGGGCCCGCAGTGGCCTACAATGGAGACCATCTTCAAGAGGAACACTTCACAGGGCCTGGACATGGCTTCCAGGAGCAGCAGACTTGCTGCTCACTGGCCATGTGGTCCCAGAAAGTTCATGGCCATCTCTGGGGGTTTGCATCAGTAGAGTGAGGTAACCAAGATGGCGGCAGGCCAGGTAAGGTTCACACAGGAGAGCATACAGGAAGTGCCGGCACAGTACGTGGTGCTCACAGGCCTGGTCAGGGACTTTGTCACCATGGGGATCTGCCTGCCTCAAACATCCTCACCACCAGGAAGGATCCCATCCCTAGCCCCATACCGCTCAGAGTCTCACTCGGGGCCACCCATACAGTGGTCAGGTGTCCAGCAGCCACAGGCCTATTGCTCCAGTTACTTCTCTTGTTGAAGTCTATGTGTTTTCCATAAGCTGCCCTAAAAATCCTTTTTGAAGCCAAGTCAGGGTATAAATAACATAGGCTTTTCTGAGAAGTTCTGAACACAAAGTATTTGCCAGCACAAAAGTGAAAAACCGGAGCCCCATAAAAGTGGTTATCACAGAGTGCATGCACTTCATCCTCCCCAGGAGAAGAGTCAAGCCACAGACTTTGTTCTCAGATGTGAAGAGGAAAGGCAGTTTGTAAGCAAAGCTTGATAAGGTTTTAGTTCTGCCCCAGGTTGTCCCTCTATGAAGAGAGACCAACAGCATAGACTTGGAGTGAAAAAGAGGCCACCCCTTCTACTCCTCTGCTGGCCCCAAGAACTGCCAACCCCTGCAGCCCCCACCTACCCATCCTCTGGGGCTTCCCGGCTCCCCGGACTGTGGGGGACAGGGCACCCACACGCCACTAGCTCTCCGCTTCCAGAGTGTGGTTAAGTAGGCAGCACTTGGCCTCTGCCTAGGCCTTGCTTTGCCTCTAACTTGCAGAGCGACCCTCGACACTCCTTGAATCCCAGTACTCTGGACAGGATGTGCTCTAAGGTGCCTTCCAGAGGTTTCTGAGAGGGGATCCTACTAACGATGGTAGGAAGCAGGGTAAGAGACTTCCCTTTTCTTCTCTGGCCTCACCCACCACTTGCTCTCTACAGCTTCCCCTTTCTCACCTGGCCTGCAGAGCACAGAGCAGGCATGGATGCTGACATCTGCTTGGGGAGCTCAGAGGCAGGCCAGGCTCAGGCTGGCTGGGCATTTTGTAACAAGAAACAGGCCCTGAGTAGGAGCTGAGGAAAGGTCTCTCAGAGCACACAGGGCTCGAGGGGTTGGGAAGGCTGCGGAGGAGGGAAGACGGAGAAGAGAAGAATGAGGAGGAAGGGAGAGAGGTGAGTGGGTGTGGCCAGGTGGCTTACACTCATTTCCACCAGCAGGGCTGTACCACAAGCCCCATTTGGAGGCCTCAGGTTGGAGGTGGGGTGAGGCAGACAGCAGGGGCAGCTAAGACAGGCCACGGGAAGGTGAAGGACACCTGACTGTGGCTGCTCCTAGGTGGCCATATTACCCCTCAGGAGACCACTGGAGCTGGGCACGTGTGTATGCCAGAGGCTGTCTGACTTCTGGTCTCTCTGGGACATAAAGGGCCCAAGGAGCATCAGTAACCCATGGAGGCGGGAATGGGCTGGGGTAGGGGCAGGGCCCAGCGTGGGGCAAGCTGAGAAGGAGGCCACAGGAGGAAGAGTTGAGAAAAGGGAGGATGGTATAGGGTTAAAAAGAGGAGGCTTCATGGAGATACAGTGCCTAGCTACAGATACTTACATACTTCATGTCTACTGCATAAAATGTGGGCAGAGACCAGGACAAGTGGGGGCTGGGGAGATATACACATTTGTGCATAGGGAATTATATCTTGGGAATGCATCCCGCACTCATGAGTCTGGTTGATATAGCCAGGCATCCTACCCGCTGCCCCTAATGCTCTGATACGGCAGAGCCCGGCCCTTTCTGCTGTCTCTGGACACTTCAGAGCTCCCCAGCCTGCTGAAGCCCAGGTCGCAGATGGGGCCACTTCCAAACAAGGCTGCCTGTGCTCAGCAGGCTCTGCCTCTCAGAGACTTATACTGAAATGTACTTGGCTTCAGCCCATTTCATTTTAATATCCTTCAGAAGAAGAGTTATAAACACAAGGCCAATGCCCTGAACACTTAGCAGGGTTGGGAGAGCTGTTAATACCAAGTTTGTCTATGGCTGCTCCGGGAAGCTGGCCAGGCTCAGGTTAGTGACATTCCAGAAGCCTGAATTGGGAGTCCTTATGCAATCACAATCCTTCGTGACTTCTAAGGCAGTTTTGTCTGCAAAAGGACTGCAGGGAAGGCACAGAGCAGAGGGGTTAGCTTGAGTGTGGAGCCTGAAACTGGCTTCTTGGCTAGTGGTGCTTGTTTTGTCAGAGGGCAATGCCTTCAATGGGCATTCAGCAAGCAGGCTGCGGAGAATCCCCCAGTGAGAAATTTGTTCTCATTAATGATTCTTAAAAAAAAAAAATTGTACTCAGCACAGACGGGTTTAAGCACAGGAGAGCAGAGCTGAGATCCCCATGCATGTGGATTTCTTTGGCGCTTGGTGGAACATGCAGATTTGTTCCCAGGGGATCTGGCTGGGACTTCTGAACTAGAAGTGACTGAGGTCCAGGTCAGAGAGTCCTGCCTGGGTGAGAGCTGGCGGGGAGGTTCATCTCCTCTTAGTTGTCAAAGATGAGCTCCAAATTCCCCCCTTTCCTTTCCCCTTGCTGGAAGTAGCAGAGGCCTGGAGAAACCTCAGCCCTGGATGGGTTTCCCTCATTCCCACCGTGGGGCTACCGGCCATGTGAGGAGATAACAGAGAGATGACATGAAAACTAGGCACCCTGAAAGACGGTGGGGATGCGCCTGCCCCCTCCCTCTGCAGCTCCTGGCTGAGTGGGGCCTGGCTCATTCCTGCTTCCAGAGGGAAGCCGATTCCACGTCTGTGACATGGGCCGCACCCTCTTGGCCCACACCACACTCGGGCACTTGCGGGTAAGAGCCGTAACAAACCCTGTAACTCAAAACGCAGGCCCAGTCAGCTCATTTTCCATAGCCTTTCTCACATTTACCACCAAGGGAACAAGGATTCCGACAGCAGCAGTTTTCAAACAGGTTAACACAGTGGGAATAGTTTGGGGTTTTTCCTTGCTTTTATTTGTTTCTGACATGCCCATTTCGATAGTTTGTTTGAGGCCCTAGGGGCGAGGGCTGGTGCTCCTCTCTGCACCTGTTCCAGGGCTTCATATTGCTGCCGGACAAGCAGCTGTTCGATCCTACAGTTTCACTGCCGACCTCCTCACTTAGCGTTGACCTGCCTTTAAGGCTTCAGTAAACTTTCTTCCTAATGGCATCAAGGTAATAGACATTTCAAGCGTCTTCTGATTAGCAGAAGCTGAGTCTGAGAAGGGCTTGTCTAGCAGTATCCCACAGACTGACGGGGGCTTTGTCCTTTTAGGGTAGAGCAGTGAGTAGAGAGCATACAGACTGATGGACTTCCTGGTGTGGAGAGCTGGCTGTTAGCTCATTTATAAAATGGGAGGTCGTGTCCTGCCTCAAAGGCTTGTTAAAAGGATTAAATGAGCATGTTTGTGAGAATACCAGCACCTGCATACAAGGGACGCTCGACTGTTGCTACTGTTGTCACTGTTGTTAATATTATTCTTACTATGATTCCTGATGGTTCCGAGTCCCTGAGACCTCCATTGCCTATGTTTCAAGCAACCAATCCTCCGGCCTCAAGTAGAAGCATCCTCCTTCCCTAATCTGTACAGCCGATTGCACCTGTTCAACTCCCTGCTCCTGGGGAAGTTTTCTTCTTATCCTGCCATCTTTACACTCCTCTTATATTTCAAATTCTAACTGGCCACTCAGCTTTCAGACTGCAGGTCACCAAAGGCAGAGGGCATTTGAGAGCCTGTGCACGCTCCTGGACTGGCCCCTTTCCACTGGCACTCCAAACCTGTCCCTCTGGGTTGCCTTTGCTCTTCTTATGTCCCTTGTCTGTCCCAAAGGCCACAGACTCTTTGGCTGGCCTAAGTGGGGAGGGGCTAGGAAGGGAAGGGGGCATGTGCAGTGCCAGTCCTTTTAATGTAACACCGAGGTCAAGAGCCTAGGTGCAAACCTGCCACTCCCTGGCTATGGGTCTTTAGGGAAATTACCTAATCTCCCTGTGCCTCAGTTTCTCCATATGAAAACTGGGAATATTTATACCAACCTCACAGAGCTGTTGTGAGGATTAATTGAGTTAATAAACATAATGTGGTTAGAACCATGCCAGTATGCACTATGTAAATGTTAGCTATTATTATTGTATGAGGTCATCAAATTCTCCCAGACCTTGTCTATATCGAGTAGGTATTACTGTCCTTCTCAATTTACAGGGGAGGCAACACCAACACTATACTTGAACTGGAAAAGTTTAAAATATATATATATATAATTGGCTTGTCTGATTCTGTAAATCACACAAAGCAGAGTGGCCTAACTTTGCAGCTACAGGAAAAAAAGATTTTAGGACACAATTTCTGCTGGTCCCCACTCAATCCATACATTCACTAAATGTGTACACTGAGCTGAGATGCTGGCAAACTGGAATCCTTCTAGGCAAAGATGGTCTTTAGGCCTTAGCCTCCTCCAGCTGTTTGGTATTCTCTTGGGACTAGACCTCATTCCACACATCCCACCAATTTAAATGCTCAGAACCCTCTAGTTGTCTTAACCCATGAACCCCTGAGTAACACAAGAAGGATCTGACAACCACTCATTACACTCAGGTTCTCCAGATCAGAAGTTATAGATTCAGCCCTCACACTTGTTTTATCTCACTCAGAGCCTGAAACATATTTGAGTTAGTTACCATCAATTACAAATTGACTTCACATAAAAATCCAAATTTTTGCCTTCTCTTGAAAAAAAACATCTGCCAATATAAACCTGCCTTCCACATGACAGAAATGGGCTGGAGCTGAGTAACAGCTGCTCACTTTTGATAGAATATGGGCTTCTCCAGGTTGCCACAGTCCTCACCACTCCATCTTGTCTCTCTCATATTACAGCTGACAGCTGCCACTTATAATTATGCTTGCTGCTACTACTATTTTCTAATAACTGTAGCTTCACTCACATTGCTTACTTGGTTCCTATAGACATTTACCTTTGTGATTCTTGGTATTCTGGGAGTTTCCATCAAACATGCATTTGCATTTTAAATGTCTTACTAATGGTTGTGGAATGGAAGGTTCTTTTCCCCTATTAAAGGAATTTTAGGCACCAATAAGCTCATCAAAATATTGGCTCTTTGAAGGTTTTGAAGTTGATTGTTATGTATAGAATGTTCTAAGGAGTGAGGATCAGAAAGGTTGCCTGCCTTCTCTCTCTATCCCTAGACAGGCTTCTCCAGCTCTGAAAAGGCACTCAAAGCTCTAGGAGACCAGAATAAAGGATCTGCAAGGTGGGATGGACAGATGGATAAACACCGGTATCCCCTTTACCAGCTCCTGCCTAGACTGGAGTCCTTGCCTGGCCAGGGATCTGTGCAGGCCAGGCTGCTCATTGAGGCGTCCCCTTCATCTTCTCCCATCACCAGCCTCCTCATCTTAGCCCAACTCCTCCTCCCTGAACCCCAACCCAAAGCCTTCCAGATAACAATTTTAGGCTTGCTGGCACATTGGACCTTATTTTACTATAAGACATAATTATTTTTATCTGACATCTTGGAATATACCCCTAGGTCTTCTTATGGGTTATACTCTGTTTCTGAATATTCCGACCAAAAAAGAAAAAGCCACTAGAATTTGTGTTCTCTGTCAATAGAGGCATATTGTATGCTCTGAGCCCAGAATTAGAGAACTCCCCAAGCTCGCTGCTCTACCTATTACGTGGGCTAAGAAAAACCCTATGAGTCATAAATGGCAACTTCCTTTTGGGATCCTGAAACTGTGTAAGTCCATCCTGATTGAAAGCTCAGCCCTGTGAGAGTCTGGAGGCTGGCATTCCAACAGGCCAGATCTGTTGCCACAGTAGCTCCACAACAATCTTTAAAAATAGATCGCCTTTTACAGCAGAGCAGGTTTCCCTGTAAGCCCAGCACGGATTCTCTGGAACTCTTAATAGCTATGTTTGGATGCAGATTCACCGTATTTGAAAGTAAAAGATTAGAGGAAGGCAGAACAGGGATAGAAACCAAAGGACTTGGTGAAGCTAACAGAGTGGCACAGCTACAGATGATCAATAAAGCCATGAAGGCTCTCTGAAGGGCCTATGTCACAGCTCCGTCCACCTGTTCACCATCCCAAAGGCAGCTAGTTTACAGGCCACGACGTGTGCAGGACAGGCAAGGAGCAGGCAGTGCCCGTCACCCACAGAAGGCTCCTTCTTACCATGGTGCTCAGGCCTCCCAGAAGCAACAGCAGCGTGGGCGACAAAGTGGGCAGAGACCGCTGCCTCCTCTTGAGAGGGGTTTTTGCTCAGGACGATGAGATGTGCCTGTCACCATGGAAAGAAGAAACAGGTTTGTTTACATGCTTGGCAGCAGCAACAGGGAACTAACTGTTCTGGTAGCGATAAGCAGAAAGCCAAGGAACTTTCTAGCAAGTTGGACAATATGATTTATGTGGAAGTTCAATCAACTCTTGGGAGAGCTGGATTTTAAAAGCACTGTGTAGTGGCGAGAGAAAGTACCGGATGCTGAGTCCAGATGGCTTGATGAGATGGCTTGATGCTGTGGCCAGGGCCTATCATTAAGCCAATCATTTAACAGTGTATGCTCCTATGAGTGTGGTGTCAGTGGAGGAGGGGGAAGGGTTTCAAGAAGGAAGGAGAAAGATTAAAAAGTGCCAGCACTGTGCAGAGGAAGTGGGGAAGCCCAGCCCCCTGCCCACTGGTCAGCCCAGAAAGGCAGACCTACCCACCGTGTCAGCAGCCTCATTCACAGAACCCAGACTCCTCCCCCATGCCTGATTCACCAAGCCCATTTGCCTGCACCCTCTGCAAACTGGCCCATGGCAGCTGCCCGAGCACAGAAAACAGCTCAGTTCCTTGAAAATAAGGCCTATTCTAATATTCCTTAAGAAAAAAAAGCGAAACCCTATGATCTTACGAACATAAAATAATAATTCTTTCAAATAGAATAGAAAATATAACTCTCCAAGTAAAAATATATAAAATAAATAAATAAAAAGATAAAGTTACTACTCATCAATATTTGGAGTTTTAAAAATTCTATTAGTAACGTTTACATTCATCCAATAAACAGATACTCACAGATGGCCTCCTCTAGGAGAGGCATGGGCTAGGAAGTATGGGCAGTAGAGAAAGAAACAAGAAGTAAACATGACGTCACATAATGCACCAAGGTGAGATGGCAGGTAGTCCACAATCAATTGCCAAAAGAGTGACAGAAATACTAAGGTACCATGAATTTAAAGGAGGGAAATACTAGATTGAGATAGGTAAAACATACTAACAACAACTGAGACTTAAGCTGTACTTTAATTCTTTTTCATTGTTAATACCAATTTTAATTTTCTTGACAATTTTTATTATCCTCATTTTATAGATGAGAAAACGGAGGTTGCTGAATGGGTGACTTGCCCAAGTTATCTCACAGCTAATAAAGGATGGAGAGAAGACTCAAAGGATGGAGAGAAGACTCTGACCTTGATACTCTGACTTCAAATTTGCTTTTTCTACCATGTCATGAACGCTGCCACTCCTCCTGGCCTGGCCCAGGTGGCAGACATCACTAATTGATGCCAGCACACTCCCCAGAGCACCCTGATTCATTCAGCCTCCAAGAGCTAAGACTAATCCATGGGAGCTGGCCTAGGAGATAAAGCCATACCACTAGAACCTTCTAATCTAGACCAAGCAGTGAGACAGCAGAGCATAGAGATTTGCTCCTCTGATGACCAGTGGAATGCATTTCTGAGATGGTGATCAGGGTAGATTCTAGACTGTTGCCACATTTGTCATATGTTAAAACCAACTGAGTTACTAACTGTAGACTTTTTATGACAGGTGCTACTCCAAATCAAGATTGCTGGTAATAACTTTTATTGCTGTGTTAGAACAACCAGAATTTTGTATTAATGCTAACACTATCCTTTGTTTTAAAACTACTTTTCTTATTATAGGATACAAATAAACTAAGTGATTTTAGTGACCCCCAAATTAGTCATTTTCCTTGATTTGGCCTGAAGCTCTGATTTGATATGCTTTTCAAATAATGGGCACTCCAAAAAGCAACTACATGTAAGTAAAGATAATAGGAGCCACAGGCATAGAGTCAAAGGATCACGTGTTCAGTGTTTAGGGAAAGGAAAGAAGAGAGAGGAAGAGCCCGCCTCACCCCAAATGCAAACTGAATCATGTTTACTTTGTGTTTTCCTCTGGGTTCCTTATCTCTACAATCCACTAGTGAGGAGGGCACCTTGTGATGCCAGAAAGATTTAACTCACATTGTTACAAAGACTTTTAACACACGGTATTTTAGATTGATTAAAACTCAAATTCAAATTCAAAAAGATTTCATATTTTGTTTCTACTCAAAATTATAATTTAAGGCAATGTAAAGGATATGTGTCTATCACAATTATTTTCAAGTGAATAACTACACTTTCTGTGAATTGCCTTTTGCCTTGGAGAGAGGAAGCAAAGCTTTCTAAGAGCAAAAATGCTCACAATATCACGAAAGTGCATCCTGAAAGCCTAAGGGGATCTGAATTTATCCCCAAATCTTCATAACCTCAACATTTTTCTCTGTGAGATGCTAATATAAGCATTTATTATCCATTATTCACTTCAGAAACTCAATCCCTGATCTAATTTATTATTTGATGTTTATGAAGCTTCTAAAAACCATATGCTGGGAGGAATGGGGGGTTGGAGAAGGGAACCCATGATGTTTAAAATGTGTAAGATTAGCATCTCATTTATTCAGTAAAATTCAATTCAGTTTAATTTAACTCAGTCCTGTTCAATTCAATTTATCTTAATTTTTAAATGCTTCGTACATGCCAGATATTGTTGAAACACTAGGAATTCACAAAAAAAAAAAAAAAATTAGGCAGGGCTTTCGGCTTTAAAGGGGCTCACAGGTGAACTACAAAAATGTGGGGTATTTTGATTTTCCCTAAACTTACAGACACTGTCCCTCACTAGATTTTAGCACCTGGCTCACTACCTTCCTCTCCACCCTCCACCTGTCATCATTTTTAGGATTTCAGTATCCATGAGACTGGCCACACCTATCAGTCAAGAAAGAGATGGCACAGTCTACTGGGTAAATAGAGGAAAAGAGGTGGATAAAACGATCCTTTACATGGAGGAAATCCAAAGAGGAGAGTGCAGAACCCCAAGGCAAGATGCTTTACCATCGCAGGCACAGCAAGGGAGGGAACCTTTGTTGGAACTGGAAAGATGAATGGTGGGGGAGGGAGCTGTGGCTCTCAGTAGAGGGATGCCGCCCACAGCAGGGAGCTTGCAGGGTGGAGCTGAGGGAACAAATACCCTGTTCCTCTCTCTCCTTCCAAAGTCATGGCTTCGTGCCTCCCAGCCAGAGGGCAAGGGGCCCCCTGATGCCGTGCTTAAGGGTCAGCGTCTAGGGCACAGCGCAGGGCTGAGAGGGACGCAGAGTGGAGCTGAAACGTCCAGCGAATGACTCTTCTACCACCTTGGCCTCTCAGGTTTTGACAGGCTCATTTTCCTCTCTACCCTCAGCCACCCAGTCCCCCTTCACGCTCCATGCCTTATCGCTTAATCCGTGCTACCTCACAGCTTCTTGGATTCTACGGCTCATAGACTCCCTTGCTCTATCACATCCGGCTCTATCATGTCCACGCAACTTCCAGTCCTCTGTCCACTCTCCACAGTCTCGCTATCCATCCACTCCCTCCTGCTGTCCCTTCCTTTCTTGTCTAGCTTAGAGTGCACCAGCCATCACTGTCATTATCAAAAGTGCCCTCAACTCCACTGAAGCACTATTTGAGATAATGACAAAGGGGAAACCATCTAAATATCCCTCAGCAGGGGAATGAATATACTGTGATTTATTTATACAATGATTTAACTCTATCTACATATCTTAACATGGTTACATTTCAAAAACATACAATGAGGGGAAAAGCAACTTATAAAAGGATGCAAACATCACGGCACCACTGATTTTCAAGCTTCTGTTTTGAAGCAGAAGAACCCCTCATATTCCAAACATAACCTTCCATAGTTCTCTAATATACAAAGCAGGTAAGAATGGAGCTGTTCTTACTGAAGCGGGTGGAGAGAGCCTGGAAGCCCACCCAGCTGCTCCCAACCAGCTGCCCCAAAAAGACCCTCCATGGAACATGAGGGCTCAGGATCACAGACTGAGAACCACAGCACCACACTACGCAGAAGGCCTCCTTAGCGAGTGAGTACAAAGGAAGTTGACAAAGCTAGTGATTAGATTACCCAATCTTTCCAAACTAAACCACTGTTCATAACTCTGGAACAACAACTTGTTTGTTAAGAGAATATAAATGCGTCTGTTATATACATCTGAGAGCATTTAAGGACTAGTTGTTAGAGCTAACAGAATTACAGGGGTTGTGCTTGCCTCTCTGGCTTTATGCAGGAGCCCAAGTAATGGGCCCCGCTGGGGATCTGCGGCTTGACTGCACTCACTCCTCGTTATTTATTCATCTTCCCAGGGCTCACATTTCTCCTCCTGTCCTTTGTTGTTTTCAATATCTTATGGTTATATATTTATCAACTGTCATCTTGAAGCCAAGGAGGAGTGTTTAATATTTCTAAATCTCGAGCTGCTAGCATGTTGTACTGTGTTAATAACAAAAACAAAAGAACCTTGGGGCCAGCCCAGCAGTGTAGTGGTTAAGTTCTCACACCCCTCTTTGGTGGCCTGGGGTTTGCAGGTTCGGATCCCAGGTGCAGACCTTTGCATCACTTATCAAGCCATGCTGTGGCAGCATCCCACATATAAAGTAGAGGAAGATGGGCACGGATTTTAGCCCAGGGCCAATCTTCCTCAGCAAAAAGAGCAGGATTGGCAACTGATGTTAACTCAGGGCTAATCTTCCTCACAAAAACAAACAAACAAAAAAAAACAAAAGAACCTTTAATATCCCACATTGAGCAAAGTCATTAATTGAATAACCTCATTCACAAGGCCTCAAGCCCTGGCAAGGTGCAGAACAGCTGTTGCACTCTGGTCCTCTTGTGCATTTCTGGGGGAAACCACCGATTTCTCAGCGCCAATCCAGCTGTCAATAGATGCAGCCCGAGCCAGAGCTGGCGGACTCTTATCTCACTGGGCCTGTCCCCTTGGATTTGTAAAATGTCTAATAGTTCTTGAAGAGAAAACTTGATGACTAGTAAAAAGGTTGTTTCTAGTTATACAGGCAGACCCCATCCTATGAACACTCAAAACACTGTGATGGTTCTGAGTGTGGAATACTAGCTCTTGGGCGGAGGGAAAGAGAAATATTTTT